AAGGGCACCCTTTTCATTCCTAGGTTTCTCCTGGGTCTAGTCTTTTCTCACCCTAGGAGTCATTGAAGTCCGAACCCAGCTGCCCGAAGTCCTGCCCTCAAAGTCAAAGACTTTAGACCGTAGACACTGAATCCACCGTAAATCCTGAACCCCAAACCCCTAAACCCTACACCCTGAACCCTAAAACCCTAAGCCCCAAACCATAAGTCCACAATGCCTACCCATAGGCCCCATAGTAGTTCCTTCTTGTGGCTTACATTTAGGATCCTATTAGAGAATTCCGAACAAGGAACTACTATGATGGGGCCTATGGGTAGACCCTAAACCCTCCTGAACCCGGGCCCTGCAACCCTCAAGCAGCGATCGGTTTAGGGTTTAGGGTTTTAGGGGTTTGGGGTTTGGGGTTCAGGGGTTCAGGGTTCAGGGTTTAGGGTTTAGGGTTTAGGGTTTAGGGTTTAGGGTTTAGGGACCCTCAAGATGCTGGGCAAAGGTGACTTGGGTGCGTTTTTTTGTTTGTCGCTCTCCTCCCCACGGCCCAAGTTTTTTAAAAGGACGTTAACTTAAGCCACCATGGCGAGGAGACCTCGTTATTTTCTGTAGACATTTCTCTTAAGTTAAATTCCTTAGCAAGAACCCCCTAAACCCTAAACCCTGAACCCTAAACCCGAAACCCCAAACCCCCGAACCCTACACCCTGAACCCCAAAACCCTAAACCGTAATTCCTTAGCAAGAACTCAGAAAGGTCGGGTTTATCTCCTTCGGCGTCGTCTCCCGCGGCGACCTCGGAGAGGTTGTTGTGGAAGGAGGCTTATAGGGTTTAAGATATTATATATAATAGTAGTAATAATAATAATGATGATGATGATAATAATAATAATTGTTATTATAGGAATAAATAGTAATAATAATAATAATAGTAGTAATAATAATAGTAAATAATAATAATGATAATAATAATAATAATCAGCATATCTAAGTAGAGTTGGATGGGCCCAATAAGGGTTTGATATATACGCATTTTCTGGGAAAGATAGCTGTTTAGAATGAGTTGGTGCAGAGCTTGGCGTATAAGAACCGAAGCAATGGTGTTAAACGCCTCTCCGTCTCTTAAACCCCGTAATTATTTGTCCCTGCATCAAGTAGGGTTTATATGCGAGTGAATCTATGGTGATCCGGAAGTTCCGGCGCCGCACGGAAAAACCTGGCCTCCTAACTAATGAGTGCTGGAAATCCCTGCCGTAAGGTTCGAGTGCTTTGCTAACCTGCGTCGCGAGCTGTAGATCCTTTGGTGGATGCATTGTCATACACTCCCAGTCGCTTGGGTATCAACAAGGGTGTGCTTATGAGACGGATGACACGGTCGTCGTTGTTGTTGTGGTGGTCGGTATGATGATGCAATGACGACGATGATGATTCTGACGCGACGATGATGATGACGATGATGGCGATGGTGATGACGATGATCGTGATTCGGGCAACAGATGAAGATGGCTCATGACGTGTGACCATGTTGCACACGATGAGGCTGGAGTTACGTATCGCTCACGAATTTCCTGTGGAGGAGGTTGATCCCTGGAGCCATCCTGCCCAAGACTGCACGAAGCACCCACATACAAGCGAACAACCCCGAAACCCACCGGCACCGCCAAACCTAAATCCCACCCCAGACATCCGACACAGTAATGGTGATTCCCAACCCTGCACCCCAAACCGTAAACTCTAAACGTCAAACCCGAAAAGTGCCAGCATCCTTGACCAGGAACAAGCTCAGCCCCTATCTCCTTCAGAACATAAGAAAAACCTCACGCCCCTACTTAAGGCTTTTAAGGCTCATAACCCTAAGCCTAAGCCCTGAACATCCCTACACCCTACATGCCCGCATAGATCCCTTCTAGAACCCAAGAAGGGTTAAAGGAGCCCCTTGCACAAACCATGCCTTCCTCCGGATGCCCCTTGCGGGGCGCTCGGGAGCCCGCGCCGACGCCCGCGCCGGCAGAGTGCCAGGGACTTAGCAGAACGCAAACAAAGGCGGCAAGGTTTAGGGTTGGTGGGTTTGGGTTTGAGGGTCTAGGGATTAGGCTTGGGTTTTTCAGGTTTAGGGCTTGAGGGTGGTAGCGGTGAGGAGGTTTATAAGGGCGAATGCAGACCCATGATGACTCATGATTACTAATTCCTTCTCCAATCATTTCATTACTACAATACCTGCCTGCAGACGATATGCTATACACGTACACGAATGTTATTGTGTGAAGATATACTATGACTCTGATTGCTGTCAAGATGAGTATGTGAGTGTGGGCATGTGTTTCCATGTATCCTTTTCTCCGAAACTTTTGGGGCTCGGGAAACAAGCTGAAACCTTAAATCCAATCACCCGAATCTATAGCCGTGCCCTGTAACCCAACACGAGGCCTACAGTCTAAACCCCAGAGTCCCGCATCCCCCTAAACCCCAAACCCTAAACCCCAAGCCCTAAACCCTAAACCCCAAACCCTAAACCCTAAACCTAAAACCCGAAACCCTAAACCCTAGAGCCCTAGCCGAAAACTTTACCTTAGCACGAAGATCCCTGCAAACCGCTACCCCAAAACCCCCACAGGGTCGAAACATAGTCCTTCGTGGCACGAAGGCCCCATGCGCGCAGCAAATGGCGAGGCAAAAATGGGCTTCTTGAGTGCTTACTAGGAGGGTCGGGAGATTTAGTAAGTAGGTAATGAGTAGACTTATAAGTACCCTAAAGGGGACCCTAGTTGGGCTTATCGTACTTATAAGCCTATAAAATAACCATTTACTAAGTCCCCCGACCCTCCAAGTACTCACTTATGCAATCAGAGGTTTGATGTCAGGTTTGTGCGAGGTTCCCCGTAAGGGCCATCTAATTTTTCAGCTCTGATAATGGAGAGCGTTGTTTTGGGCTTAGGAACATTATCGGATCAAAAAAGCGCTCAGGGTTTAGATTTTAGGGTTTAGGGTTAGTAGAGCATTTTTTCAGGATTTGTGTTTCTGCCTCCAACGAACTCGTTTTTGTTGGCCTCCAAGACGAGCAAACTTGTAGGGTAAGAGGATTCAGTAGGTTCTAGGCAGGGTTATATCTTGGAGAGCCCCATATCAGGGTACTTCTGACCGCAGTTGGAACTTGCTTACGAAGTCCGCTAGCGGATCAATCAAGGATTTAGGGTCATGGGACTGCCTTTAGGAAAAAGCCTTATGGCACTGTTCGCACAACCTGCCCCTCTACGCCCGAAGCCATTGTAACCCTAACTTGTGAACCGAAAGGAGTCGCAACAGCAAAAGACCAGAGACTTCATTGTTTCAGCATCCCCGAAACCTTGCAGCTGAGTTTCCGTCGTTTAGTACATGGGTTTTCCTGAACAGCAGATGCTCTAATCCTCCCTATTTGGGTTTATAAGGGACCCCTTTATACAAATATTTTTCAGAGGGTTTAAAGGCCAACCCAGTTAAGGATATTTAGGTCCAATAGAGGGTGGATGGAGGGTCTAGGTGATTGGTCCAACACCCAACTTTTCAATATAGCGGCCTTAATAATTATTAGAATAGGGTTTTGGGGCCCGTTATACTATGGTCACAATAAGGAGCCCCCAAAATCGTATTGGTAATGATGTAGGCCCCTACATTGATTGGGAAGTAAGACCCTAAACCCTAAATCCTAAACCCTAAACCCTTCACGAAACACGGTATCCCTCCACCCTCTAGGCCCGAAGACGAGCTGTCAAACCAAACCTGCCAGAAGGGTTGAGGGTTTAGGGTTTCAAATTCAACAAGCTCCAAGCCCCAAATGCCCTAAACCTTGCACCCCCCAAAAAGGTCGCCAACTCTATCTAGCTCCTTCACAACCTTCTACCCTACGCCTTTCGCTGGAAACACGCAGAAGCCGCTATACACTCCTCCATATACTCCACAATATGGTGACGAGGCGTGGCGAGCCCCAAACCTCAGTCGAATGCTTGGTACTCATTGACTTAACTTTTCTGAACTTCATACTGTTGATGATAGAAATCCTGCATTACCTAAAGGACCCTAAACTATGGGAGTTATGGTACCTTATTCCGGGTAATGCAGGGTTTATATCCATAGGTGTCCTTATGTAGACCGCCGATTCTGATATAAACACGCCACCCGCGTCTGATAAGGCTGCTACAAGATGGAGATGGACGGTTTAGGGTTTAGAGTCTAGGGTCTAGGGTTTAGGGTTTAGGGTTTCGGGTACCAAAACAAGCTGGGTGTATGAACCAAGGGTCTGCACTAAGCCCACGTATCCCTACATGCCTTAGGAGCATTCTATCCTGATACAAAACGACCCAAACCCCTACCCCCAAACCCCCAAACCATAAATCCTAAACCCTTATCATGCCCACTGGAAACGGGGATCCTCGGTAGGTCCTGAATCCGCGCAACATGATGCCGGAGATGCCGCAAACCCGGGCAGAGTCCCAGACGATGGACCTAAACAAAGACCGCTTCTGGCCTGCACCCGGAACTTCCGGAACCCTTAATATGAGGCTCTGTCAGGGGTGTTTGGGGGGTTCCATGACGGCTTTCGGGCTTTTTATAAAGGTTACAAGACTTCAATGTTCAGGGGTCTGGGGTTTCGGATGTCGGGTGCGTAGCTTAAATGGGAGTTTCCAAAAATTAGGGTACCTTATTTTGGGGGTCCTTATAATAAGGATCCTAAGGATCCTATTATTTAGGGTACTATATTAGGGTCCCCTATTTTCGGAAACCCCCACTTGCGTCGCACTCAGATGGAGAAAGCATCCGGGATAGCTTAAATGGGTGGTTGTCAAAATTATGGTCCCTTTTTGGGTCCTTATTATAATACGGCACCTATTATTTAGGGTACCCCAAAAGGGACCCTAATTTTGACAACCACCCAAATGGATGAAAGACAACATGCAGAAGAGTTCAGCTCGGTATCACACGCCACGAAGACCTAAACGAAATGCCACGAAGCCCACAGCTGCCACCTCCGAAAGAGCCTTCCTAAACCCTAAACCCTAATTCTGGAACCTTATACCCTAAACCCTAAACCCTATAAACCCTAAACCCTAAACCCAAATTCTGGAACCTTATGCGACACCGAGCATGTTGAATCCTCGCAGCACTCAGCATTGGGGAAGTAAGCTGTGACCCTACATCCCTAAACCCACAAACTCTGTGCCATCGCTGTAAACCCGATGTCCAAAGTTATTATCTGTGTATGTTCTAGGGTATATACCGCTTGAGAGAGGGGGGGTGCTAGAAGCCCGATCTACATACAAACCCTACAGAAACTCTACACCCTAAACCCTAAAACCCTGCAGAAACCCTTAAACCCTACAAAAAACCCTCAACCCTGAAACCCTACAAAACGACTAACCCTAAACCCGAACACCCAAATCTCTTGGTGATGAGGAGAGGTCTCTTCCATCCCGAAGACCGGAGAGACGGGAAACTGGGTCTACCCATCACCTCAACAGCGACCCGGCGTCTTAGGGGGGTTTAGGGTTTAGGGTTTAGGGCGACCCGGCGTCTTTGTGGCCTTTGAGGAAGTTTGGCTTCAGGGGCTATGGGTGGTTTCATCATCGTCTTAGTACCTACCACAGTCATACCGTCAGGTCCTTCCTTGTCTCTACTTTCGTTGCCCTGGCCTTCGCACTGATCTTCTTGTCTCTGGCATCATCGTTGTTAGTGACCCGTACAGTAGAAGCCCAAAAAGTTAAGAACCGAAGAGCCTCAATCAGGGAATCCCAGCACCGTTTGTCCTTAATCCGGT